ATTCACTAATAGGTATTTTAATTTGTTGTTAAACGATTAAGATATTTTGTATTATAGATCGGTTATTCATTAACAGTTAAAATTAAATTTCGTGAAAGCTAGTGATTTCATTATATGTTATGATGTAATGTTATGGGGGGTTAATATACAAGATATGTATCGGTCACGTGATGAGTAGACGGGTTCAGGTAGAGGGGTAAATATACGTCACACACGTATGTAATCAAGGATCAGTGGCTCAAGGGCTCAAGGCTCAAGGCTCAAGGGTTCAACCTTCTGAACTCTCTATTATATACTACTAATATTATTAAATATTGTCATTTTTAAATTTCCTACCTATTCCAAAAGAATATATGAAAAATGTATGAGTTACCTATTGGTAATTCACTAAATTATCAAACATAACTATTTCAGAGTGTTATAATTAACAAATAATAATTTATAATTACATGGACATGAAAAGGGATGGCCGGAGGGGGCTTAGACCACTCTGAGCCATCTTAAGGCCTCTCTAAGATAATATGTACATAATTTTAACACTACATAATATTTTAATATATAGCCAAACTTTATTATAATATATTATACCTATAATTTATGAGATAAAAAATGTGCTATAAACAATTATTAAATATACTCAGACTCAAGGAATCTACTGGAAAATTTTTAGTAATTTAGTATTTATAATATTACCTATGAGCTATCCAAAATTCAAATGCTTATATTTGTAATACCTTTTGTCCTTTTTATAAGCATTTATTACTTGGTTGTACCTATATAATATTATTATATTATATTAACAGAGATCCTGGGGATACCAAAATATATGCTAAATGCTTGATAGATTTATATGGTCATCATATATCAGTGCTTCTCAAGCTGGAGGCATGGCTATATACTGGCATGGCTATTTTATTTAAACTATTTTCTTTAGGCTTTAAGAAAAAAGTATACTAAAAACATTAATTTACTATAATTTTAATAATTTATCTGTGTGAAATAGTAGGTACATGTAATTTTTGTATATAATTAAGAAAAAATAATTTATGATTTGATTAAGGGGCCTTGACAGTTTTACATTAAATTTAGGGGATCACACGACAAAACAAAAATGAGAAGCACTGTCCTAGATTAAACTGTAGTATATCTAAATGACTAAATATATATAATATGTATTATATACATATTCATAAATTAAAGTCAAACATATACAAGCATGTACAAGCATGCTTAAACTCTATACAACTCGAAATCTTATGCCTATTTAGCTGTCAAAACAATAATTTTACCCTAAACCTTATTCATTCAACCTTCGCATTGCATTCACAAAGCTGAAAATACATCTGTCTTCTAGTATTTTTATTTTTATTTTAAAATGCCAAACAAATGCTTTGTGCCTGGTTGCAGGACTGGTTACGCTTCTAAAAAAAATGAAACTGAGAAGATAAAATTAATTTCATTATTTAAGCCTCCAGAGGTAATACTTTTTAGTTGTTTTTATAGACAGTTTAATATATATTCTATTACATTTATTTATGCAGATTAAATTATTTTCAACATCAAATATAATATATATACAAACAATACAAATTTACATAAATCAATGTTTTATTTATATATTGATACTATTTGTAACAGGAGTTAATTGAAGTATGGAATAGAAAAATTCCACGGGCAGATAGGTATTTAACATCAAAAGACCGCGTATGTGAGTTGCATTTTTTGGCCGATTGCATAACGAAAGAAAAAGTTTTAAAGGGGCCTAATGGGAAGGACAATACAGACAACTCTAAATCTGATACAGAAACAAATGATTATTTAAGCGTAACTGATGAATCACAAATATCATCTGAGGTACAATGTGTAAACAAGCTTGAAATGACCAATGATACAGTTAAATATTTAGCCTGTTGGATTGATAAGAAATATATCAATTGAAATTCCCTGAACTTGGCTCAATCACATCAAAATCGAATTACCTATGATAAAAGTCCACATAAACATAATTATTCAATGCCATCATAGATAAACCATCTTATCTATCTTATGGTGGGCTTATTGTCATAGACTTAAAGAAATAGACGGAACATTAGGTATGATAACGCGTGCAAGTGGGTGGAGCTTGTTCCGAGGATCGGGCGTTGAAAAACCGCGGGAATAATTTTCAATATTTTCAATATTTAAATATATCTATAATAAAAATAATCTATAATATCTATTACTTATAGAAACTATGAACAATTGTAATAATATTATTCATTGAAGTAGGTTATGTTATTACCTAATGGCTAATATTATCTATTATCTAATAGATCGAAAATAAAAGATAATTTTTATTAAAGTATTTATTGTCCTATTATAATACATTATTTAAATTTATAAATATTTATTAATTGTTTAAACTTATGTTTTTTCATTTATTATAAATATTATTTATAAATTTGAATAATAAGTTCAGTTATGAAGACATGCATTGTGTGCGAATGTAATGATCAAAAGGCAACATTTCATAAGTATATTTATTTGATGAATTATATATCAATAACTAATAAGTCCAGACTTGGCTACCTTTTTTGAAAGTATTCAATACGGTATTTTCTACAAGTATTCTAAGTACAGTATTCGGAATACTTTTTTTTAAGTATTCAGAATATGTATTTGAAATACTTTTAAAAAGTATTTTACCCAAGTCTGTCAATAACTTGGTAGTTGTTGGGTGGCAGTTATTATTAATTGTTCTTTGTGCATTTTATTAAATTAGATTCCCTAGTAATCCATATATGAGGCAAAAATGGTTAAATCAATGCAAAATTAAAGGAATACTACCTAATTATTTATACATATGTTCATCACATTTTAAAAAAGAGGATTATGTTAGTACTAGACTTAAGAAGGATGCACTCCCAAAACTTGTCGAGTAAGTTTAAGAAAATGTATATATTTTATGTCAATGTAATATAAATATAATTGTTAAACATTTTGGAAATTTAGAGACCAAATTGAAATACAATATGTTCCCTCACATAGCAAAAATAAAATATTAAGTTGTTCAGAATCAAGTACACCACAATATGTTGAAAATAGGTATAATTTGTGCAGTTCAAACAATGGGATGGTTGTAACTTAATTAATCCAAGTAAAGATGTCATACTTATATGTAAATATGCTGAAGCCTACCTAAAACAATACCAAACAGTATTATTTAATAAAAATAATATTTTATTATTTCTTAAAACTAAAATAAAGCAAGATATTTACATGGATGTTTTTCAAAATATTGAAGATCATACATCTAATCAATGTGTATTCAATAATCATAGAGAGCAATTAATTAATCTGATTATAGATTTATTTTTGAAAGTTCGTCTTAGACATATTGGAACCAGGATAAACGATGATGTATTCAAATCTTCATTCAGGCAAAAATTTACAAAATTAGTTACACATATGAATCAATAAATTAATAAAATAAATTAATTAATTAATAACTTTAGCTGAAAATGTAATATTTATTATAACAAGAAATATAATAATTATTTTATTGTTTTTATATGTTTATTTTAGATTTATCAAGGAAACATTTTTAGTTTTAAAACAAACTACAAAGAAAAATTTAAATACTAAAGTCTAACAGATATTAATTAACAATTTATTATATTTTATATTTTACAAATGAGTTAAACTTGAAAATTTCAACTTAAATTTTGAAATTTTTATTTTAATTTTTAAAATATAAAGAATATTATAATTTATATTATTATCACAAATAATTGTCTTATCATTTAGAAAATAATAAAAATGAACGAACGCTCTAATTGGCTGTCCTCGGAGCAGAGGCCAATTCTCTCACTCTTATGATAAAACTCATGCTGTCTCTCTTAATCCGTTTGGCACGACCACGCCTCCCAGTCCTCGGGACTAATGTTCCGTCTATTTCTTTAAGTCTATGCTTATTGTTCCTATGAATAATTTCAAAACCAATATAATTAGGTTTGAACGTTTATTTAAAAAGATTACAAAACAATAAATTCCGAAAAACCTGAGTTTTGTCAAAAATGTAACTAAAAATATAATTTCTAGAATAGATAAGGAAAAAAAATGTATTGTCATTCAATTGTATATCAAACAACGAATACTTATTCATATGAAATACTACAATAAACAACATACACTAAAGTCTAAATTCCACTTACAAAAACTACAAAAATTAAGAAGGCTGATGACATAATATATTTCATTGTAATCATGTTAAGCTGTTGGTATTATAAAATTGTATCTACGTATGTGTTAATATTGGTATTGCATTGTATATTTAATATTAAATAAAATGTTTAATAAAGTACTATATTAATTACTGTTTTATTTTAATAACCTTTATAATCAAAAATATTTTTAAAGAATAAAATATATTCTATACCTACTATAAATTAATATATTTTGTAACACTACAATACTGCCGTCCTAAGGAAGAATGCCGTAAATAGAAAAAAAAAAATGAGATTATTCTGTATTACGTTTAACATTACAGTTTTACACGTTGTTTTTAAGTAAAAATGCCGTTACTATGGTTATTCATCGAGATATGTGTGCTTATAAGAAACAAATATTGCCGCAATCGTAATTAAATATTATACTACAATACTACAATAACGTTACTAGATAAGCTGCGGCATGTGGGGTTTGGCACTCAATGAAACTCTTACTCAAGAAATGTCCAGTAATGTTTGTAAAAAACAATATTGTTCAACTAAATTAATACAAATTAAAAAGTATATTTTTTTTTTTATGTAAATAATATTTAATAGAAACATTATACGTTTATATATTTTAAAATACTGATGACAATAAAAAGTTAAAATAGAAAAACATGAGAGTAAATATAAAGCTGAAAATAAATTTAATGGTTTTCAGAGAAAATGTTTAAGGTAAATCACTTAAAATTGTTAAAAATCAATAATTGACAAGTAGAAAATAAAATTTAGAAACACATATGATTATTCTCAAACTTCATCTGCTTTTTCTTCTTTGATAACAACAAACAACTTCTGGATGGTAAACGTCACATGGTCTGCAAAGTTATGGAAACATTAAAATGACAATTAGGTTAGTCAACAGTGGTTATAGTATGTATAAAACTTCAATACTTACTTAATGAATTTTGGAACCACACAGGTTTAGTTTCCCAAACTACACATACATAGTACACAGGAATGCCTAACAAAGTGATACAAACTCCCATGCCAACTTGAAAAGGTCTTACGTAACATGGCAACACAATCAAGAATAATGACACTATTACATAAGTGATTGGGAGCAAAAGGGAAACCTACAGTTGTTAACACAAATTATGTATTATTTAGATTGTAATGTGCATGTATTTTATTTAAATAGTCATACCTTGATTGGCCTGTTGGTGTTTGGACGTTTCCATCGATTCCACAATACCGATGACACCGATAGCATTGTGAAGAATGCCTCCACAATACTCGAATATGTTATAAGTATGTTGACATCACTTGTAAAAAGCATGAATAAAGATAAGATGTTCTGAAACAATTGCAAGTTATAGTAAGGTTATAGTAGTAGTAATTATGAATTTTATCTTACCAAAAACACTAGAGCCGGGGTTGGTGTGTACCTTTCTACATTTATGTATGACAAAAACTTTGGGAAGTGACCATATCGAGCTCCGACACAGCACATTCTAAAAAACAATAAAATATACAATTTTAGCATTAAATTAACACTGTCAGCAAATCACTAATTGTGTACTCAATTGGACAAGTGATTTGATTTCTTTGAAATAATCAACTACCTAGTTATAACTTAATTTAAATGATGTCTTCTTCAGATGAAGCATAAACACTCTTTTGTCAGTAAATAACTGTATATATACCTATAAGTTATGTTGGTTAGTTATTGTTTGTAAGGTATTAATTATTATGTTGAAAATTAACTTTTTCTTAGTTATAGGAGGAAAAAACTTTCAAGTTTTAATATCTAAGCTTTTTAAAGTATGGGAAACATGTAGCTATCGCATACCTGGACGAAGTCATAATGTTAACGCACAGACCGCCGATTGCTGATAGGGCAACCATCAGCGGCATGACCCATTCAAATGAACCCATTGCCAAGTGACCAAATGTCTAAATAAAAACATAGTATTATTGTTACTTTATATTAAACCATAATTGAATATTGTATGGTAAATGATTTGCATTAAAAAAGTTTTTGTACATAGTTTTACGAAGTAGGTACTTATAGCATTATTGAAAAAAAAATTTACACCAAACACACTTTTTTAGGATTTTAAATTTATTCAACTGACAACTACCTATCTATCAACTTAATTTTCAATTTCTTAACCTTATGAAAATTTTGAACACAAATACCAACTATTTATGCTAAAGTTATTTATTTAAATCATACATATTTTAAACAATAAGTTAGACTAGATGATTTTATTGAAGTGTGTGGTGTACTACCCAGCTCTTGAGTCTTGAATAAGTTAATAACATAAATGGTATATTCTTATGTTCAATATAACAATAATTATTACTTATACACCCAATATTTTCAATTAAGTCAATAATGTATTGTATGCAATTAAAACTATGGATTGTGATTACAAAAAAGTCACTTTAAAACTGAGGCATTTTAATTATTTAATTAGATTATTTTTTCAATAGTATATAAAATATATATATATATATATTATAAATTACGTAAAAAACGAAATTTGACTGAAGTAAATGACATAATGATTAATGAGTGTCTTTTACTCTTGTGTTATTAAAATCACCATACAGTAAGTTGTAGTTGATTAGAAAATGTAATAGGTACCTATTATTTATGTTATTAATGAAAAACTAAATTAAATCATTGTGATATCACTCACAACGGCGATCGCTTTGGTCGTCACCATGTCGTGCGGCGTCAGAACAGCTAGGTACGCAACGTTGGCCAACACGTAGATAATGGTCACCAACGGCATGGAAATGTATATGGCCCTCGGCAGGTTCCTGTGAAAACAAAATTAACAGATCAATGAGACCAAGTTGTCACGGTAAATCTCGAGTTTCGTAGACAAAAATAAGAGAACGATTGCGATCATGCCCCACTTACACATAAGGGTTCTTTAGTTCTTCGGTCATGAAATTCAAAAAGTTCCTGAAAATTAAAAATAATAACTATGCGTCCATTGGTAAACATGAAAATAGCAAAAAACCTCACCATCCCGAGTACGAGAATATTCCAGAATAAACAGACACGGCTAGTTTGCCGGGGTCTGTGACTGATCCTTGCCAAGGGTTCATGAACTTGGAAAATCCATCTGTACTTACATAAATCACGGAACGATGAATCATTACAATCATTATCGTTTATACATATATTATAATTTAACATAATCTGCAAAGGCTACTGGTGGTGGTGTTAAAATCCTCCTAAAATGTGTATAATATTTTAATGTAACCCCCCCCCCCTACACACACTCTTTGAAATGTCTGTGCTCGTGGTTCGTCATTGAACATAAAATAGGTACATGAGTAACTGTACAGAACAGTGGCGTTTCTAGAGCTCAACCAGTGACGGAGGCAGTAGATAGGTATACCTATATGGTGTACGAGGACGGGCTCACCTATGCACAATAAATGGTTTTTTGTCGCATACAACACGGTTCCACTTAAGGTGGTATACTTATACAGTTGCGACCATCTGTCGGAAACCGGTTCGCAGCACGAAAATAGCCACATATTATCTCATTCGAAATCATAGGCGTGTATAAGTGGGAGTCCGGTGAGCACTGGGCCCCCAGCGGACTGTGAGTCTGTGCCTCCTAAACATTTTTAAAAAAAGGTCACCTGGTCAGTACAGATTTTAATTAATTGTACCTACTTGTGTTTTATTGCTAAACGTAAATAATAATACATTTTATTGTTATTTTAGTTTTACCTATTTAGTATTTAGTGATCATAATTCATGCTTATCAATTCTTTATAACTACATAATACATATACCTACCATACAACGGATTAGATGGTACCACACATAGGAGTGTCTACAGGTCACATAGGCATAACCTACGAAATTTGGAAACAAATCTACTTTACCAGACACTCTTTTTGAAAAACCTAACCTGCTCAAACCTTCAAAATTCCAACGAATAAGTATTCTAAGGTAATGCACTAACCAAAGTCTAAACTCGCTTATGTTTGAGATAATTCAATACATTTTATGCTTGTGTATGCATTAATTTTATTATTGTCGCTATAGACTAAAGATACATAGTATTATTTTCAGTTGTTTCTCGGCTATCATCGAGGACAGTTGTTGGTCATTGCTTTTGGCTCGCTTATCGCGTTTTGTTCGTCCGACTTTCGACCTTTCAACGATCTCTTATACTATTAAATATTACAGTTGTTCGTTGATCTGCTTATTTAATGATGTTATGTAACACATGCAATGAAGACATATTCGAAGACGATGTTATAAAGTGTTTGATATGCAATGAACACTTCCACTTTATGTGTGTCACTTTCAGAGAAGCGACTTTTCGTAAAATGTCTAAGGCAACCAAATTTAACTGGGCTTGTAATAAATGCAAGTTCAGTGTTAAGGTCTCTTCACCGGCAATTACCTCTGTTCCCAGCACAACCAACGAAAACTACAATAATCTAACTGACTCAGTTAGCTTTTTGAGTGATAAGTTTGACGACTTTGTTAAACAATTACAAGAATTACTACACACAGTCAAAGAAATGAGAGAAGAAAACCGAATACTAAAAGAGCAGAATGTTAGGCCCAACAATGATGTTATATCACTGGTAAACCGTGTTAATACATTAGAGCTTTCGATAATTGTATTGAAATTATTGGTGTCCCGGAAATCAAGGATAAAAACTGTGCAGATACGACTAAAACAATCTTAGCTAAACTAGAAGTCAATTCAACGGTCAGTAAGGCGTTTCGTGTTCCATCAAAAATCTTGAACAAACCCAGGAAACTAGTGGCTGAGCTATGCACTTCTCAATGCAGTGAGTGAGTGACAAAAGAAACAAAGTAGTAATTAACAGTGTGGCTACTGCCGAATAAAAAATTGTGTTACAATAAAATCTGCCAATTGTTAAATGTATTGTTAACATAATAACTGATTTGTGGTTACCAAACTTGTGAGTCTATGGTAAAAACCATATTACCTACCTATATATATTATATATATATATATATGTGTGGACCACTCTAAACCGAATTAGAACAGAACAGGGAAAATGTAATTTCCTTTTACATAAATGGAAAATGGTAGATACACCACTCTGCGAGTGTGGGCAGGTCCAAACCATCAAACACGTTGCAGAGGTATGCACTCTTACAAATTATGAAGGAGGGATAGTAGGGCTTCACAAAGGAGACAGCGAGGCACGAGATTGGCTTAGTACCCTGAAAGTTCACCTTTAGAGCAACAGATGTGTTGCAGTCACTCTATTGTTTTTATATGTTATGTTTATAGTTTTATATATTATGTTTATTTAAAAGTTTTCACCAATTAATAATAATATGCCATGTGAATTAAAAATATATATATATATATATTAGGGTGGTCCTTATTTTTCATTTTTCATTTTTTTGAGATTACCACCCCTAAAAAGGTTAAGTTACCTGAAAAAACCATACAAATAAAGTTTCATGCAAATTCTTTAATTTTAACCCGTGCCGCAAAAGCTCCAAAGTTACAAAAATAGAACATTTTCAATATTTTAATTTTTTTTTGATATTCTTAAAAATAACTCTGGAAATAAAAATGTTACAAAAAATTTGTTAAGATAAAATGATAGAAAACTAAATTTACTAAAATTTGTTTCATATAGATTAGATTCCAAATATTTTATTTTTTCAAATATTTTAATCAAAAAATTAAAAAAAAAAATCTTGAAAATTGAGATATTTCCATCAGCATAACATACAAATAATCGTGAAAACAATTTACAATAAATAATAACACTTATATTTTTAACATATTTTAAATATAAATGATATAACTAAATGTATGACTGTGTAACTTGGGTAAGTGTTTCTTTTCTATGGTCAGGATATTTTTTGTTATAATCTCTAACAACTTGTACCTAGTAGATATTGTTTTTGAGATTCATCTTTGGTTATTTTGTTGTTATAATCTTCTATAAGTTTTACTCCTCTTTCTGTAACATCATTTATAACTGCAATATTTCTTAAAATTGACAGAGCTGTATTATAATCTGCATTATTTGCCCACATTAAAGGGTTTTCATTCAAAAAAGTGGTATTGATATCAAATCGTTTAAAAAGATTTTTAGTGTTGACACATATAAAATCATCAATTTCCTTTTCTAATAACTCGTTTGCATTTTTTGCAAATATAATTAAACGTTGTGCATTTGAATTTAATTCTGATAAACATTCGTCGTTGTTTAGAGCATGAATCATTTTTCTTTTAGTCTCCAGTGGCACAGCCTCATCGAAAAAATCAAATGCGCATAATTCCGCCGATAAATACCATAAGTGACCACAAAACTTTTTAACTGCTATCTGAGATAGATCTTTATCTATAGAGGCATAATGTAAAAGATTTTTCATAAAAGTCAAGTCTTGTAAAGGAGCTTTGATTGAAGATGGTGAATTAAACCATACTTTTATATATAACCGTACAATAAAAATGTAAATACTTCGTAAGGCACTTTCTTCTTTGGGTGTTAATCGAAACTGTTCACGAAATAAATATATTTTCAAGCTATAAATAGCTTTTGCCATCCACCGAGCATGATGGATGGCACCTGGTATTTTAAAGCTAATATCATTTGAAAGTTTCCCGCCCAAAAAATTACTGTTAATTCTAGTAACTCTCGATAATCATCTCTTGGCTGCTTTTCTAATAGTCAATCTTTAGAAAATTTAATAATTTCGTCACATACGCCTTTAAAGAATCCATTACATTACTATTTTGTATGCCAGAATTAAAATTGTTAGGGTTAATTGTTCCCCGTGCTTGTTGGAACCTTTTAAAAATTGCAACGTCTGAACCCAATGTTGCACCAAATTTCAAATCGAACACACTTTTCAATATAATTTCATATATATGATGGCTGCATGGTAAATATACTATTTCGCGTTCTAATAGTTGCTCAAGCAAAACACAAGCTCCATTTAAGCGACCTGTATTTGATGCTGTAGTATCGGAACAAAGTGCTTGTACATTTTCATCTAAACACCAATCTACAAGCGTTTGGTATATTGCATTGACTTGTTCAAGTCCAGTTCCACTATTTAACGCCGGGACCCCTAGCAGTTGTTCACGACCGTATACAGACGCGATTATAGGCAGCCTATCGACTAAGCCTTTCCCGGTTAAATTTGGAAAAAGTTTTTCGTCCCAGTGTATAACAACTGCGTCTTCCTTACCTAAGCTGTTATAGTTATGACGTATTTGTTCAGCACGTTGCTTACGGTATTTTATGCGAGAGCGTCGTATCAATGATCGGCTTACAATAAGTTCATTAACATTATTACCTAAATATTACCATGGAAATAATCGCAAAATACGTGTATAGGTCTAAGTACACTACCCACCTAACGATTCTATAATTATCTCTTGTATCATAGATTAAAACGTGTAGGATCACATGCAAACCATATTATACAATATATATTAATTTTAAGTTAATTTAAATCGCATTATACGATATAAAAAACATTTTATTTATTGCCACCCAAAAAATAGTTAAACATTTTTATTTTTAAAATTTAAACTCAAATATCTTTGATAATAATATATTTAAAAAAAATGTATAAGTATAAAACTGTTGTAACAATAATAACGTACAATTAATGTCTTTAAAATAATTTTTGTAAAATCATTCTTTTAAGAGTTATGATTAATTATATTCAAAAACTAATGATTTCTAACATTTTTTCGTTATTAAAACTTTAGAGCTTTTGCGGCACGGGTTAAAGTTAACCATTTCGTCTAAAAAAAATTTCTCATGCTTTTTTTAAGTTACTGAACCTATTTGAGGGTGGTAACTTGAACATTTTGCAATTTTTTTTTTACTTCATCTATAACGGAGGACCACCCTAATATATATATGTATATATTTATGGTTTATAAAGAAAATGAATAAAAAAGTGAAGTATTTTCTCAATGGTCACTACCTTATATTCTTTCTATCTTCGTTCTTTCTTCTTTCTTTCTCAGTTATATGATTCCCTAGCATTGAGGGCAGGGTGGAGTGGAATGCACTGTAAATTAGTTTATAGGTCTATGGATTCTTATTGAAAAAGCTGAACTCTTTAAAAAAAACCCTTTATAGGCCTAAACGTATTTATATTATTCACTTTCAAATCGGACGTGCAGGAGTACGCAAATATGTAGGTGTATAATATCTTAATTTAGACTTTTATACAACGGTGTTGAATTTCGTTTATTTGTGACGAAAAGAAACACGCTTACTACAATTTTATCGAATTAATATAATCATAGAATAGGTAACGGAGGAAAATAATATATACATATTTTTGTAGTTCCTTCGTTGTTCAACTAGGTAGGGAGTTTATAGCAGGAGTCACATGCCCACTCAAACCGCCTTTGTTGTAAATATTCTGAAGAAATTTTATATTTAAGGGGATGGTACTGTTTTCGTTTTTAACCTGATCCGCCATTTCTCAATTTTTAAATTCCGTTATTTACAAAAATAACAGTTAAAACACACCTATGTTGAATTGTTTTTTTGTTTAGTTATAGTAAAAACATAAATAATTAAGTTATTTACCGGCCACTATAATCTATAAATAGGAAGCTGACGGTAATACCGTCATATTAATAATTAATATGTCTACAATAATTCTCAAAACAGAATTAGTGATTACTGATTAGTTACTGTAAGCTATTATACTTATTCGATTATTGTTTACTGACTTGAGTATAGGTAAACACCGCCACACACGATGATCAACACCAGAGCGGATATCTTGGTGAACATGAACACGTTTTGAATTTTGGTGGTGGCCTTGACGTTCCAGCAGTTGATGAAAGTTATGAAACCTATATTTATACACATTGACGACAATATTAATATATTATTATGATAAATGTTAATGCGGCATTGGAGTTGATACTTGATAGCACAACGGCTATACTTACAAATCATGGCGGCCGCCAGGAGTCTAACCGCCTGGTCCGGGCTATCGCAGTCCGGGAAGAACGGCTTGATGACGTAGTTGGCGAAGGTCAGTCCCATGATTGCGTTAGTTGTTGGCCTGCACAGCGCAAGCAAATATATGTAAGACGACATTAACAGTGGATGGGCGGGAAACCGATAACTACCCAGAAGGGATTATAACGTGTCTAACGATAGACCTAATTTTGGAAACTTAGGAAAGCACTGCAATAAATGTGAACCTATAGTCTATATTTAGTTAATTACCTATGTTTAATGCTATTAATGGAAGTAAAATGTAGTAAAGAATGGGTGGGCTAAATTATACATCAAATACAGTAGAAAGTAGAAACGCTTAAGTATACAACAATATTATGACTTTTAGAACTTTATAAAATCTGATATATAAATTACCTATATCAAAATCGATTACTAGCTGCAATTTTTAATTTGAGATTTGCCTATGACAAAAAAAAACTGGTCACAAATCACATTTATTGCATTTAAGTACCTATAATAATAGTTATAACTGATCAACTATTATTGCAAGTAATGCACTAATACTTATACTCCACTATACCAATTCCTTAAAGTATTATTTTAAGTTTATTTGTATCAATGAAATGGGCTCAATTTCACAAAACAAAGAATGAGAATGAGCTTAGCTCTTATAGATATTTTTTCAGATTTTTAAATATTTTTAATGTAATAATATAATTAATATAGAAAGTTGGATTTTAAATGAATGACCAGAAAAATTATATAGTTCTCAACGTGGTGTGCAAATATAATTTATATTTATTATAATTCCAATTTCCAACCGTTTTCTTCCGCCCAACATAAAGCGCACTAGGTAGGTACATAGTTTTGACCGTATATTCTTTAGTATATATGGTGATTAGCTCTTGTAATGTCGAAACCCAAGGGGTGGGGTGTTGAATAAGTTCGAGATACCTAATTTCCTCATACCTAACAAAAAGTTCAAGATATCAAGCTCTATTGTAATGGTAATTATTATTTATTTCAAGATGGTTTCAATGGAGTTCGTGATTACGAAAAATTCGAGATAATAAGAATCTACTTATTATAATGTATGCATACTTAAGTACCTAACAATATTACGTAGGTAAATCTTATAATATATAATATATTTAAATTTAATATACGTACACAAACACGAGTATAGCGTCCCACAGGTAGAGGAACGCTGGCAGCGGTCCATACGCCTCGAACAGGTATGTGTAGTCTCCGCCTGACCTCGGTATGGATGTGCCCAGTTCTGCGTAACACAGAGCGCCGATCATGGACAGCATGCCGCACATGACCCACACGGCTAAGCTGACACCGACCGACCCAGCTTCGTTCATCACGCCCGATGGTGAGATAAATATACCTATGTATCAGTATTGCACACACATATAAATATCAAAAAAGATCCACGGGGCTTTTGTCACCCATATTTTGTAAAATATTTTTGTTTGAGATTTGCCTGATTTTCCGACTGTATAATTACGCCTGTTAACCGTTATATTATAATTATAAACGCTAAAATATTACGTATTTAAGTCTTGAAAATATAAAATTAGTTAACTGCAGTCAAAATGGTTAAATTCTAATAGTAAAAGCTTGAAAAATATTTTCAAATAAAAAAAAAATTTAGTGATAGGTACCTAACCAAAATGTTTTTTTAGAAAGAATTTAAGTATTATCTTTACTTACACATTAAAATTAATACAAAAAGTTTATAAAATACTTAAACAGGTAGGTACTTGATTATAACAGCGATAATGACATATCTTATAGCACTAAATATCATTGAAGCAGGGGCACATAAAATTAAATGCAATTTAAATTTATCAATAATCAAGGCAGAAAATATGAACCTTTAACATTCTAATATTATTTAAGTTGGAAAATGTGCCTATAAAAAAAATAGAATGTATTCACTTCCAATAATAATTGTATAAGTGGTTCAAGCCGCTCAAGGGCAGGCGGAAATTATTGTATCTTTATTATTTGTACATAATATACTTGAGGTATTGCTTCATATTGGATAATAAATATTGATTACACCACAAACTAAATATAATGTATAATGATGCAAATATAATCATTGTTATGGATAATATTTGGGACAAAATAATAATAGGCTAGGAGAGCTAGAAAAATATAGTTGAGAGGAGGGCTGGCATATCAGCATAACTGGCATTTTGTCAACTATTATATTCTTGATTATATTATTTGATTTTTTTAGATAACGGTTCAAAATACACAGATAAACATAATATTATAACAAGTCTGCAATAGATTAGAATATTGGACCCCTGGATATCAGAGAATCAATAGTTTAAAAATTCATCAAATAAGATGTATAAACTGTTACTATATCTATGTGGCAGTGTGTATAAATGTATACCTAGTCAATTATAGTTTTTATTCTAGTTACAAGAAATATACATGGGTAAAATAATAAATATATCAAAATAATGGTATATAATGATACCATTTCAACTTGTATTATTGTTATAAATATTTTTTTTAATAAAATCTATTATTTCATATTTCATTCATGTCATACTATTTAAACAATATTTGACACCTAGATAACACTAATTTGCCAGTTATAACTACTTACTAAAAACCCTAGGATGTTTGAAAATAACCTATCCTGGACAACAAATTCTACTAATTTGATAGTTCTTACGTCAAAGTGTGATTAATTACCTTTCTATACCAAAAATAACAATATAATTTACAAAAAAAAAAATTAAACAGAAAACCAAAAATTAAATAACGTTTAAAAGTACAATAACGATAAACATTAAAATTGTATAACATTTAAATATCCAAAAACGTAAAAAGATATATTTATTTTATATTTAAGCCCTACTTGAATCACCTACATATTTTTATATTCTGCATTGCACTTTATATGCATGTATTCCACAAGTTATAACACAGTTAGGTACTTCATTATACTACGAGGGAAACTTGCAATGGTTTATTTTTAAGTACATAAAGGAACAATTTTAAAATCATATAAACACCATTATACATTATAATAACTCTATCATTTTTTTTTTTTTTTGAAGGTATGTAACAGTCAATAGGTATAATAAAAATAATTACTATTTGTTTTATTTATATTATTTTAAGTGTTTTAATTAAAACTCATTAATAATAGATAGAATAAAGATAAGTACCTACATGTAAAACTAGTATTGTGACTGAAGGGATGCATGGATAGTGAATAATAACTTTTACAATATTATATATTTTATGGTTGTTTCGGTTCCGTAGTAGCCGATAATTCTGATGGTTATGTAAAATGAATAAATTAAAAATATATATAGACATAAATAATTTTTATAGAATGGATACTGAAGATAAAGGAATTCTATGAATTATAATTGGAACAAATTTAAAAGAATGGTTTTAAGTTTATTTAATTACCTAAAAAAATATTATTTTTTTTTGTTTTGTTTTTTTTAAACATTTAAAGCATATTCAATTATTTGTATTTTATTAAATAATATTTTAAAGACTTTAGTTAGGTATAGGTATCATATTTTTTTACATAAAATAAATAAACATTTAATTGTTCTCAAACAATTATTTACTAACCAGATCCAAATATGATGCCCAAAATTATGGCAACGCCTTCGAGGAGACCAAGTTGTTTTTTGAGGCTGACTCTACCTCTTTTTTTGGGGGGAATTGAGTCAGTGATTTTGACATTTTCTGATGTTGTTGTATTCATTTTCTAAAACAAAAATAAGAATAAAACATTAATAATTATTTAAAACTAGTTATTTAAAATATATAAAAATATATTTCCTATATAAAATAATAAACATTAGAAGAAGTTGATGCAAGTATTCAAAATATGATTAGGAGGAGTGAAAATTTAAATGACACACAGAGCTATTAAATTAGATAATAAAATGAGAGTAAATTAAAATATAGTTATATATTTTATTCTTATCTTCTTCTATTTGGATTTGTCGGCCATCAATACCATACCGTCACACATCCAATTCTCCAGCCTTCCTTATCAGGTTTTAATTATACATGTAATAATACATTGTAAACTTACATAATTATGCACCTTAAATTAGTCAGTATTGACTTTGGTTATTGACTTCTATAATCAGTAATTCATCAGTAATTTTTAATATTTTCACTTATCATGGATGGAAGTTAGCTGTGTTTATTTCTGGTCTAATGTATTAAGTCCTCGACTTTTACTTTTTAGTGATAAGTCCTTAATGAGTTATTTTAATACACACTTCTTATATGTCCGGACTTAACATAAATTTGGTTTGTATTCACCAATTATTAAGTGTTTACATGTTATAAGGTCTGGACATATTATGTGAGTGTAATTAAAATACTTCAGTTGTAGAACTTAATTTATTTGACCATAAACATTAACTATAAAGAAGTGGACGTGTAATGATATGTGTTTAATTACAATCAAGTTCAGTGATGTTATTTTGTCTTTAATTATCTCCAAGTCTTGATAATATAACGAGTATAACCTATTACTTTTATTATGTCTTAGCTTGTAATATTAATATAATTCTATGAAATGAATAATTATAGCATCAACAAATGTTATTATACTAATTAACTGATCTTTGATTGTTCATTCCATAAATTTAAGTTCCTTGGTATTTGTATGATTTCAATTTAATAAAATAATATAATATATTTATTAATATGGTTTTATGATAGGTAAGACATTGGTAATATCAAATAAAAACAATTTAATACACAATTTTTGTATTACAAACAAAAATAAATTGAAAATAGTACACTATTTAAAGTAGATACAAATTATGAAAAAAATAAGAGCAAAAAAAATGTTGACTATGGTCAACAATTCAAGTAGGCAAGTCATTTTTAATATTCAGAACATGTAAAAAATGCATTAAATTATTTTCAATGATTAAATTAAATATAATTAAAATATAATTATTATAAGAGTAAATTTGTGTTTCAAGTAAAGATAAATGTTATTTTTATTTTATTCAAATAGGTACATTGAACTATTGAAGAGCTTTTGTCAATCGATTGTTTACTATTGTGTATGAGTTTTAATGTTTTGTGAAAAGAAAATATTATAATAATTTGTTTACAAAAAGTAATTGCTATAAGTCCATTTAATATTATAAGCCAGTATCCATCCAAATTTATTTTGTCACATATAGTTATAAGTCCACATAATTTTTTTAAAAATGTCATTCAAATAAATAAATAAATTTTACATGAATCCAACTTATATATTAAAAGGAAACTATATAGGTATATTTTTAAGCTAATTTTAATTAATATAAAAAGGATTGATTAAATATTTTTATGGTAAGCGCATCTAAAAAAAGATAAAATTTAAAATAGCTCTCCTGCACAATTTCAATTTTATGACTTATAACCAGTGTGTACTAACTACTAACTACTAAGCCATTGTTATATTCTTTCTTTAATATACAATTTATTATTAAGTTTGTAATTTTTTTGAACAATAAAAATATAATAAGTAATGAATGGAATTTATGTACCTATAATAATATTCAAAATTTGTAAAGTGTAAACATTTTGGAAATGTACAGCCAGACTACGTTAACTGTGTAACTGACACATTAGTTTAGCTGAGCATAAATAGTACTGTCTATAGTGTACCAGGTAGTATAACAGCCATCAGCCCCTTTTATTTAAAGAACAGTATAGGTTATTATGATATTATATTACTAGTTCATCACATATCTGCTAACGGTGACCAATCTTCAAACAATGATTGTTATATCCTAATAATTTATACAATTTTAGTGTCAAACACAAATAAATTAAATCCAATGGGATGAGTGGTGAGTGGTTACATTTCAGACTTATTGTGGTTAGAACCCTGGGTTATAAACTCAAATTTAGATCTGCATCAACAACAACCACAACAATTAAGATTAGCTAGAAACTTAAAATGTTTCATTTAAAGTACATAAATGTAGACATATAGTTCTATAGAGTATGGAGTTAACTGAATTACACAGAGGCCAGGACAGTGTGTGATGAACGATTTATGAATTTATGATTGATGAAAAACTCACACATTTTGTCTTTCAACATATCTCCATATTAGGTACTACATGAGTACAGGGCATTATCCGATCGGTGTGGCATGAAAATATACCTATTATAATTACTGTCAATCTACTTTAACTATCTATCCTAAATTCCTACATCCTACTTGAATTACAAATTACAATACATGACTTCAAGGGCTTCATTTGGGGGGTACAGGGTATACATTTGCACCAACTTTTTTTTTTAAAAACGCCTTTAGCCTGCCAACAATAAATATAAGCTCCTATATACCTAAGTGTTTTATATTATATACATTTTATATTCTTTCAGCATTAAAAAATAATGTATCGCACTAATTTTTAATTTCCAAGAATGTTTAATGTGGTTTTGTGGTCCCACAATATTGTACCTAATTGATAAAATTATAACACAAACATTGATAAGAAGGGTACCCATAAAATAAATTTCTCGTTTTATTAAGCTAGCTATATTATATATTTTCAGTATGCAGATAGAAAAAATGTTTAGGTTAGGTTCGGTTAGGTATTTTATAATAAAGGTATTTTATACTCTTACATTTATTTACCAGTATACCACTGTAAACTGGTATCCACAATATAAGATAAATACATTAAAAAGACCTCCACATAGTTCGTCAAAAATAGTAACAATATTGTGATATTTTTATACTAATATAAGTGACATTCCTATTAAATAAATTATACAAATATGAAATATTCTACAGAAAATACTCTATGATGGAGTCACAGACGTCCCTGACCATTGTCTCCAAAACACCTGGAGCAATAAATATGAGAACTTTTTACAGGCATTTATTTTTTTAAATTAAAATTCAAATAGTCCTCCCCTTTTTAAATTCTACTCTATAAATTATAACTTAAAAACAATTATTACTATACATGACGGGGAATACAACGTCGTACTTTAACACTTACCTGCTACGAAATTAGTTTTTAAATTTCAGTAACAATATCAACCCTCTAACTACCACAGTAGTCAGTACTACAAGTTACAACAGTAACGATAACGATTTTAACTTCGAAACACAGCCACAATGCCGCATGCCTGCATCCAAAAACGTGAAACGACTAACAAGTAACGAGTTGACAGTTCGCGTTGCACCGGCACTAAACGAACGCGCACGTGTATGTCATGTGATGAATCTAATAGTCTGACAGTGTTGCCAGATCAAATATTTTATAATCATCAGATACCCCCTCCAAAAATCACTAGATATCACAAACCATACAGGACATATTAAATAAAAGGTAGTAAAAAATAGTAAAAAATCACCAACAAATAAATAAAATAATTGTAATTTCACAACTTAAACAAAAAAAGTGGTCAGATAAATATTTAGTAGGTATTTAGCAATTGATCGGATTCCCAACATTTTATTTATCAAACGATTTCAGTTAAAAATGATTAGAATTTCATGAAAATGATTTTAGAGGTAATAAATTATTTTAACTTACAACGATCTTAAAAATGTGTTCCTACTATACAAAAATTATAATTTAATGGTTTTAATCAATTAAAACAAAAATTAAAAAATACCCATCATAGATTATGTACCTATGAGGTTTTAATATTATTAAAACAACTTTAAAAAGTAGAATAATGGGCTAAGTCGCCAGATTTTACACAATTTTTAAAAGACCACCAGACCTGGCCATATTGACTTCCGGTCAGTCCTCGACGGCGGCGTGTCCCTTCAGCTAATTCGCGAGTGCTACGCCTGTTGCATGAGAACACCGAGCTGTTATTATAGAACTGCTGAAGATGGCTTAGTTTTTAAAAATTATTATAGCTAGTAGACACGAGTTTCATTTAATGGAATTAGTGACAGTTACGGTGTAAACCCCATGTAATAATTAAGATTTAAGACTATTATTACTGTAAACGATTCATATTTTATTAACACGTCTAATAAAGTTTAAGTTGGCAACCACATAAATGTTCTAATTCCGTTACCAGCCTATCAATGTTTAACGGATCGAACTTTTAAACGTTTTAGGTTACTTGGACATATGCGGCACTAACCAGGCGTCCATAACACGCTGAACGCATTTACGCAACTAGAGGGGTGCTTGGGGGCACCCCCAAACTTTAATTTAGCACCCCCAGTTCAAAAACACCAAAAATTTAAATATCATATGAAAAAAAAGGTGCTCTGCTGTACAGTAGGTTACAAGTGGGTCACTGTATAATGGATGGTGTTAAATTTGAATTCAATGATATAATATTATCATTGAATAAGAAAAACGATTCTGAGCGAAAACTTTCAAATATTTTAAATTTTTTTTCTGTTAGAAATTCATAAAAGATTTTCTTTTCATAGCTAAGATTAAAAATGTTAATAAAAAATTTCACATAAGTTTTTCTACTTATAAAAAAAACTTATACTTAAATGGGACATTAATTTTTTATGACTGTTTGAACTTACAATTGTTACGATATTCGATATTCAGCTGTAAATCGAATTCCCATTAATTTATTTTTAAGATTTTGTTGTATTTCCGAAATGATTAACCGTAAACTCTTTAAATGTTCACCAAATATTTATATTAGCATTTTCCATACATCATAAATTTTTAAACAATTTCGACTCTTTATGAACTATTTATAGCCATGAGAACATTTTTCAAATTGAATTCA